CACACACACACACACACACACACACAAATATATAAACATATGAACGTACCTAATACAGTGTACAGCTCTAGCATGACCTTCTTGATGAAGAACTTCCGCCTGCTGTTCCAAATCCCATAATCGCCAAGATGCATCATAACAACAAGTGCCAAGAAATCGTCCGGATGGATGAAAAGCTATCCTGGAAACTCTGTAAGGTTCATGACCTTCCACTTCTGCGAGTGGTTTTTCGCCAGTGCCGCCACTCCATAGTTTTACAGTACCTGTTGTTATAACACACGTATTTGTTTTGTCAAGCAAAATTTAAAAAAAAAACAAATTATTTTACAAGTTTTTGTATGTACAACACGTTTTTAATATATACCATCTGATGCACAGGATGCCAATATGCAAGTTTGTCCCGCACTATCACTCATCACATCTTCAGTTATTGTAGCTTTTGGATGAAAAACAATGCAGCCGACATTACAAGAGTGTCCTTTTAAAATGCGCAACAAAGTACAATCAGGTACAGACCATAATTTGCATAAGCCTGACCATGAGGCTGTAGCAAGAATCTTTGAATTTGGACTAAATTGACAGAAAGAAATGGGCCTTGTATCCCCAATTTGAGAGCAAAAAATGCTCAATGCTTGTAACTTCTTTAAAAGTTCTTGTCTCTTTGCTGTGCGAGTTGCAGCGGATAGCTGCAAGTCTTGTCGTGCCTTTTCTAGCCTTGCTTTTGCTCTTGGCAACGAATATGCTGTAAATGTAAATATTTACATGGTAAATGATATGTATATAAAGATAATATAAAAATAATATAACAATATATTTAGAACTGTATATATATACTTAGGATTGTATTTAAAAACAAATCTTTATATTTACTTGCTATCCACGATCGTGCAATTTGCAAAGATTCTGGACCTTCGTGATACCAAGTTGTTTCTGTATCTTTTTCAATTGTATGAGATGGTTTCTCTTCTTCTTCATGCTTCTTCTTAATAGCATCTTCACCAATATTGGCCAGCAGTTCTCTTAATCTTGTTCTTCTGTCTGCAGGACCTTCACCAAATAGACAAATAGGTTCGCCTAATTGTCTCAAATGCTTTTTTACTTCAAAATCATCTGTAGAAACGTTAATTTGTCTAGCTTTTTTTCTACGTTCAAATTCTTCCAACAACGCCTGGCGGTCTTTAGACATTTCATCTTCAAGTTCCATATATTCATTAGAGATATGTACATTCCCTGCCAAGGCAGAAGCATTGGTAACATCTGTTGTATTTGTAGCATCTTTTTCTTCTTCTGTAGTTTCAGCAGCAACAGCTGCGAGTCGTGCACGTTCTGCTTCTTCCAGTGAGCCATAATGAACAGTTTTCTGCTTTTTCACATAAACCACATCCTCGTCGTCAGACATTTTAAACAGTTACGAACACGGATTTCTGTTGCTCTCAGTTTATATGCTGCTAACTGTACATAGATTATTAAAATAAATTACAATTTTAACTTTATACGCATATGTATATAAATGATAAGAAAATAAATATATAAGTACACTATATGAATAATATATAATAATAGAAAAAAACAGAAATAGCGCTAACATTATATAAAACACAGAAGTCTTGTTTCATACAGAAAAACCTGGTTAATTTAATACCGTATGTATATATAGTAGTATATATAGTACCTATACATATATATTATGTACATATAATATACTGTGATGTGTATAAATTTATATTTACACTATTTTATAGTATATGTATATATATATATAATTAGTATTTTTTTTTATTGATTAGACTTATATAATAAATCATTTTGAAGATGTGTTCAAAATGACAAGTGCTTTTATTTTAATACAGATATAACTGATAAATATATAATAACTTAATATAATAATATATAATTTATATTTTTTGTAACTATTATCATTAATAGTGAAAAAAACAGACTTTTAGAAGAACTTCATTTCTCTCTTTTCTTATTTTACTATTATAAGTTTGAATTTAAAAACATCAGACAATTTATCATCTGTAAACAAAGAAAAACAAAGTATATAACAAAGTATAAACAAAGTATCAAATATCCTCCCGCACAAATATGATGCAAAACTTTTATTTTTTATATTAAAGTTTAGCAGTTCACACAAGCTTTTTATTTACACAACTTTTTTTGCTTGAAAAAATTAAACTAAACTTCCACGTAATTAAAAAATAAAGTGAAATAACAAAAATATCTCGGAAAGATGACCATGCCGGCAGTTTGACGGTTCTGGGTATAACGTTGCTTTCTAGACGCTTTTTACCTTGTATGTTTGCACTATTTTTTTAATTTAATTTTTTTCAAAATACAAATCTATCAAATGTAATTGCTCTTCACGGTTACAACTTCAAAAAAAAAAATCAAAACGAAGAGTGGCACACAAGTCTCGTGAGATTTTTAATTTTTTTGGTTTGTTACGAAAGATTCAGTCAGAGGTTATGTGGTTGTGAATCTGAAGGGGGGTTCTGAGTTCCGAGTTCGAATTTATCTAAAGGCCGTGTCACATTACGTATTGCGGACGCAGATCGGATTGGAATTACAAATTACGGATCGAAATTTAACCAATCAAAACGAGCCAGCTTTGGATCTGCTTCGTTGCTTGATTGGTTAAATTCCAATCCGTGTCCGCGATACGTAGTGTGACACGGGCTTAAAGACACGTTTTGTATCATGCATATGCGCGCAAAATGTTTGGAGTAGGGAAGCTTTTTAGTAGGGGAAAATCATGGGAAAATACGCAAAACAGACAAGTTTTTGTCCGCTCCGACTCTCGTCTCTCATTGAACTCAATAGATGCGTTCGTTTCGGACTTTTATGCGCTGTAAGCGTTAGTCTATCTTTGTTCTACATTTAAAGAACAATAAAGATGGCCTGATGGTTAAAGCGCGTAAGCGTTCAAAACGAACGCACTTAGTGTATCCGATGTATATGAGTGTATATTCCAAAATCAATCGTAGTTGACTTTGGCTGCAATTTTCCGATTCACCGCCAATACTGAAAATCTGTAGCATATGCGACATAAAGAATAGATTTTTAGTATTTATTATTGGCAGTGAATATCGGAACGCAACTGAGATTAACTATAGTTAATTTCGGAACATAACGCCATATATCGCTCTTTGTCGATAAAGTGGCACTTTTTCAAATATATAATTTGAAAACATGAGAGAGAGTATGTATCTTTTTTGAACTTTTTTCTTTCTATTTATTAAAATAGTTTTATTTACCTAATTTTATTTTCACTAAAAATCTTATTTCAAAAACTTCTCTAAAAAGAAAAGATAAAACGCGCCAAACATTTGCAGTCATATTTTTTATGGAAAAAGTCTTCAAACTCGATATCTTATTTTCTTAACAAAATGTTTTATACGTTAACTTTAGAAACGTTACTAGTTACTATAAAAACTCCACACTATCGATTCCTCAAAAAAGTATTAAAAAGTGGAAACAAGTAGAGAATTTAAACTTAAAATATAAAATTAAAATAAATTAAATAATTATATACTGAGTACTGAAAGAGACCATGGCATACTGAAGAAGCGATGTTGAAAACAAAATTTTATATATAGCTCATTTTATATTAAAAAATACTCTTACACTGTTATAAAACAAATTAGAATAAAAGTAAATAAATGTTGTATACTAAGACTGAAAGAACATGTGATATTGCTAGTAGAGAAGAAAGCAATATCTTAGCAAAAATTAGACATAGCTCACTTTGTATTCAGTAATACAACCTAACTAGAATTTTATTGCAATAAGAATGTCACAAACGTTCGAATATAATTAGTGGCCCTGAAAAGGGCCGTTTTGTCATAACTTGTTCACTTTGAACTTGTGTACTTAGTTACTGCCTTCGTGCCTTCGCTGACTGCGTGTTTCGCCAATTCACCAGGAAGGAGAAGTCTTACAGCAGTTTGAATCTCCCGAGACGTGATAGTGGATCGTTTGTTGTAATGAGCCAGTCGTGATGCTTCAGCCGCAATGCGCTCGAAAACATCATTAACGAAACTGTTCATGATGCTCATAGCCTTGCTGGAGATTCCAGTATCAGGATGAACTTGTTTCAATACTTTATAGATGTAAATTGCATAACTCTCCTTCCTCTTCCTTTTCTTCTTCTTGTCAGCCTTGCTTATATTCTTCTGAGCCTTGCCGGCTTTCTTTACTGCTTTGCCGCTAGCCTTCGGTGGCATCTTTAGAAAACTTCTTCGTCGAACAGCACGAATTGAGAGTCAAAGATGAAGTGAGCCCTCGTCAGCTAACGGCACTCTAATATAGTCTCGAGCGTCCGTACGAGCGCACCAATCACGTGCGAGTAGCTCGCTCCTCCTACTTTCTCGCAACGCTATTGGTGGATACTCGCAACTTTAAGAGTTACATGCAAAATACAGCTATAAAAATTCTTATTTCTTTAATTTCTTTGAAATATATACATATATATATGTATAAACAGTTGTATCATTTTAAATCATAAATTGTTTTTGCACTAATGCATTAATAATGTATCATTACTAATGCATTAAAAACATCTTATTTAATTATAGATTTCACGGATATCAATAGATCTATTTCTCTGATTAAATTTTATGTACAATTTAAAAAAAAGAGAAAGAGAAAGAGAGAAGTATAAACTATTCTGATAGGTATTCTAATTTTCACGTCTATCAATAAGCAAGATATATATTCATATACACAACTTATTATTACAGATAGCGTCATCATCTAGATTGTTCTAAGGCAATTGTTGAGGGAAAAGAAGAATTCGTCAGACTACGTTTTTGTAGCACATATATCAAATTAAATACATAAAATAATTTGTCTCTGTTACGTTCTGTAATTCTTTCTTTCATATTTTTCAGTTAAGATAAAAAATATAGTAGATATTAATATATACATATATTTACATATTCGTTCAATTTATTGTATTTTTATTCAATTTATTGTATATTATGTATATACGTGTGCTTTTACAAATACGTATCTTATTACGCGCATTATACAGAGAAGTTGGACGTTCTGATTGGCCAGTATCGAGGTGGTGGGGAGCAGTTACCTCGCGACGATATAAAAGAGTGCGCACGGTCGGCAGAGTCGTCATTCGATCTGCTCTTTCGTTAGCGAGTGGTTCTATAGTTCAGAGAATTTCAAGATGACTGGTCGTGGTAAGGGAGGAAAGGGATTGGGAAAAGGAGGAGCAAAGCGTCACAGGAAGGTTCTTCGCGATAACATCCAAGGTATCACCAAGCCTGCTATCCGTCGTCTGGCTCGACGTGGTGGTGTCAAGCGTATATCTGGCTTGATTTACGAAGAAACTCGAGGTGTACTGAAGGTGTTCCTTGAAAACGTCATTCGTGATGCTGTCACCTACACTGAGCATGCGAAGAGGAAAACCGTGACTGCTATGGACGTCGTATACGCCCTGAAACGCCAAGGCAGAACTCTGTACGGATTTGGCGGATAAGCGAAGAGCTGTCGAGATTCTAAACAATCGGCCCTTTTCAGGGCCACAAATATATTAAACGTTTGAATAATTCTTGTTCGCTATGTTGAAAAACTCACCTATTATAACCTTATTTTTGTGTTTGTTTTACTCGAAGTAAAAATAGTATTCGCGGAAAATATTAATGTCTGCTAAGCGTTTTAAATTTTGTTTTTGAGTTTTTAAATTACGCTTTGTTTAAAAAATGTAAAAAACTTGTTTTTATGCAGTTTTTATGTATTGTATGTGCTATAAGATATAGGTTTGGTGCTCTTTTGGCTCAGTAGACCTATAAAGCTAGTCCATACGCCATTCTATGTCTTTTTGATAACAGGTTTAAAAACCGTGGATTGGGTTCCTGACGCCAAGCCACGGAGTTGTGCATTTGTTTAAATTAAAGATAATAATAAAGAAAGTGGTGTAAAACATCGACAATTGTCCAAAAATATTCACTGCGCACGTCCAACCGATATGGCTGATGCAATCCAACTTTGCTATAAGATATATGTAACAGTGACAAAAAGTTGCATTTTCCAGAAAAGCCAGGCATAAACACGGCAAAAAGTGATATGTAATGTTGTAAATTCTTAATAAATACGATAATTTTCTTTTACAAATATATTTAAAAATTTTATGTTACTAACGATACAATACAAACTGAGATAGGTGCTTTAAATTTTTTTAATAATATATAGAGATGTGTATATTTTTAACCTAAAAATATATATACTACATTTACATATATATATATATATATATATATATACATATGTATATATATTATATATATATATATGCGCGCACGCGTACAAGTTATATCTTATTATTATGAAAACTTCTAGAAAATGTAAACGTAAAAATTTCAATCCAAATGACTTGCATTTGTATGTAGCGTTACGGTATCCTATATTTATGCGTATGCGTAATGCAAACTAATTTACAACTCGCTGAATTTGTTCAAAATATTGTACGCAAATAAGGAGAAAAAACAACTAGCAGAATAGTAGTAAAAGATTACACATTTTAACCGTTATGAGAAAAAGGTTATAGAGGTTAGGGAGAATGAATATAAAGCTCGGCAGATAAAGTAGTAATGTTGAACTGTGCAAGATATCTTACACACGGCATGCGTGATTTTTATTACATACAGAGTGCTTATATGCGTTTGCAAAAATATTTTTCAGGTGTCGTACGAATGCAAACATTTATATTTTTTTGGTAGAAATTCGAAAAACATTTATTGGTAGAAATTCTATTTACATACGATATATAAAAAGTATATTTAATAAAACTATTATTATACATACACTATTATATATTTACTACGTTACACATATTCAATAAAACTATTATTATACTAAGAAAGATTTCATGTGTAATAAAAAGTTACTTTTGATTTTTACAAAAAGATTAAGTGTCTCAAGACTTTATGTAAACTAAATTCATACAGCATCAAATACAACTGATAAATTTATCTATGCAAATGAGAAATACTGTTTTTCACACAAAGTATATAAATCAGTAAAATATTTTTAACAGATATCAGTTTAAATTTCAATATTTTCTATCACATGTTTTATTCTTAGAGTTTGATTGCATAATATTAAATAAAATACTATTGGTTAAGTTAATATATATATATATAATATATAATAAAACAAAGTTTAAACATAAAGTTTTAAATGAAAAATATTTGAATTATTAAATATTAGGTAAGATAAAGTAGTTTATCGACTATATTATGTAAAAAGAGAACTGATCTTTTCTAAAATTAATCTAATACTCAAAAATATATGTGAAACTTATATACAAATCTAGATTGCGCACATAAACATTCGTTTGATACTTGTAATGATCTTTTTGATGAAATCATTTTTAATGTTTCAATTAGAAGTATTTATTTGCATATTTTACATATATAAACTTATAATTAAAAATTATCAATCATTATCAGGAGTTTTTGTTATAATTCGTATTCTATAAATTGATGTTAAAGATCGTACAAAGAACATTTAAACTATGTAACGTTATCATCGATTAATATTGAATGACAGATAAACGTGTTTGAATACAGAAAACTGAAGTAAAATTTTTCGACAAAGTAGAAATTCTTTACGCAATATTTTTAGTTAATAAAATTAGTACAAAAAGTAGAAAACAGTAGAAAACAAAAAGAAATGTACAAACGAGACTTATTCCTTCGTCAAAGTTAATTAGTGGCCCTGAAAAGGGCCGATTGTTAAAAAGTTTCGTCAAGTTAAGCTCTCTCTCCTCGGATTCGGCGAGCTAATTGAATGTCTTTGGGCATAATGGTAACTCGCTTGGCATGAATTGCGCAGAGATTGGTATCTTCAAATAAACCAACGAGATAAGCCTCACTAGCTTCTTGTAAGGCCATAACAGCTGAACTTTGGAAACGAAGGTCAGTTTTGAAGTCTTGAGCTATTTCACGAACCAAACGCTGGAATGGCAGTTTACGAATGAGCAGCTCCGTACTTTTCTGATAACGGCGAATTTCACGGAGAGCTACTGTCCCTGGCCTGTATCGATGAGGCTTCTTCACACCACCAGTAGCAGGTGCACTTTTACGTGCTGCTTTGGTGGCTAATTGTTTCCGAGGAGCTTTACCTCCGGTCGATTTACGAGCAGTTTGCTTGGTGCGAGCCATTTTGTAATCCAACAAAACAAGTTCGTTGCAGTCCAACCACGAACAACACAATGGGCACGTTGGATTTCTTCTTGCGCTCTTATATAGACGCGGAACGTAGACAACTTGACCATGATTGGTCGGAGTCTAAGTGGTGGGGAGAAGCCAGTCGTAAGCCTAACTACCAATAAAGATACACTATTATGCTAGAATACAGGATACTTTCAAGAGATATATTATTTTCATAAATTGATTTTTCAGTATATTAAACGTCAAATAGTAAAATAACAACAATAAATATTTTGAAATATAATATTTACTTCAATATTAAGAACTAAATAGTTTGTTAGTTTCACATAACTATATGTGTATAAAAGTTTTATTATAAATTATTTCATTATATAAATATACATGATTGCATAGCTTTTGATTTATGCTAACATAAAATAAATTTTGTACTTTAATTTAATTATCATTAATTTGATATGTACGCACACGTATGCGTGAAGACAAAGCTGGTGATGTATCATAAATACGATACGTATATGAAACATATTTCGTAAAATCAACCATTATCGCTATCTTGAATAATTCTATATTTTAATAAACATTCATTTCTCTTAGAGCCATTGCATGTGAAAAAATGTTAGGCTACGTTCCGATATTTATTGCCAGTATTAAACATCTATAGCACGTTTGACATGAAGTATAGAGTTTAGGCTTCTCTCACTGGCAGTGAATATCGGAACGAAACCTTAAGCCGTAACCACAAACTCGTAAGCAATCAACCAATTACAGACCAGTATTATCTTACATTAGCTAAAATGCTGGCCTGTGATTTTTTATCGTTTGCATACGACTTTACACTTATAACTAAAATTTTGTTACATGCAATGGATTTTACTTTTTGAGTTTCACCGCTTCCGTGATGATAAGCACACTATATAATATTCTTATTTCCATTTTTTTATACACATGTATCACAAAATATTAAACTTTGTATCCACAATATTACAAATTGATCCGAGATATCAAACGGAGAGAGAATTGAAGAACTAATCCCATTCGAATAATTTGATCAATTGGAAAACGCGATTGATCATTTCTCTCTCTATTTGAGATCGCGGATCGATTTTCTGATATCGCGGACATAAAAGTTTAAATATCAAATATATCAAAATCATATTTTTTTTTTACCTGTTAATAAATTATTTTGATATAAAATAAAAATATTTTGATATATAAAACGAAGTTTTTACAAGATAACAAAAGTTTTATAAAATTTATTTGCATTAGATATTTCTTGAAAAATGTATTATATTTATTAATATCAAGATAGTATGTTTTTTTAAATTATAATATATTAATAAACTTTTGCAATGTTTTATAAAGAAAAACTTATTATCAAAAAACTCAGTATATCAATATAATCAACATATAAAAATATATCAACTTATAACACTATTTTTATATCTTTATAAATAGATACATATAGTGCGCAACAAATTACAGTCGGATCTCTAAAAATCATTTTGTCACAACCTTTGTAAAAGTTACTTCTGTAATTTCTCATTTGGAACTGACATTGTTTGACGTCGTTATAATGTCATTATGACAATTATCTTGCTAGTTAGGTTTAAATTTGAGAGTTACAAAATTATTATGATAATTTAATCTTGAAACATAGATAAAATCATAAAAAATAGATATTTATATATATTTTAAGATAAATAAAAAAACGAATAAATTAAACAAAAAAAAGAGAAATTCAATAAAAATCAGCCTATAAGACACAATTGTAAATATTTTAACAATTGTACGCGCGGGAAGTTTGCAGATTGTAGAGAAGAGTTTTTGAAACGTTGTTGAGATAGTATTTTTAAGACATTGTTATGTCGATATTTGTTTTTTTAATGATGTTACCGGCGAATTTTTATAAACGAGAAGTAATAATTTATTTAAACATCAAAATAAAAAATAATACGCAATTTGTTAATAAAAATTTTACGTTACTCAGATCGCAGTTCTGTGTTCTCATTTATATGCAGTTTTGTGAATCAGAAGCGAATTTTAGCATTAACTGACGTTCTAAATTCGTAAATTTAAAGAAAAAACCTAATTGCAATGTGCAATTTTGTTATTCAATAGATGTTAGATTTTTTTTTTTAATGTAAACATTTATCATATTATTCTACTATCTTGTTATGTGCGATTTATTATAACAGCAACGTTCACGTACGGAAGAACTCGGTATCCAGTCGTCGTCTTGTGCATATGCCATTTTTTTTCAAGCAAATTTCAGAATTACGCATAAAAAATTACAACACAATTATATCTTCATGTCTCTCGTTCGATAATAACATTTTATACTATTTCGTAAAATTGTCTACAAATGTACTTTGTAATCGGTATTCATATTGTGTTGCACTGACAGTTGTATTCTGCCACTCGCGAAAGTTGTAATATTTTACGTGAATTTGTGTATCTCGCTTACGGTAAACACTTGCGATCAGTTAATACAGTTATCGTGACGTTTCGCGAACCATTTAATTGCATCGTATATTGATAATTACATTATTTATTAACTTATTTCCCATATTGAATCAACTCTCGCGAATGAGTCGGGCGCGCGCGTTGCACGAAACCGCGTAAAAATCAATATATATCAGGTACAAGAGTCTTATAATGCATATAGAACGAATCTAGCTACTTGCTTCTACGGTTACGAGTGCCGATCAAATAACATTTATTATGCAAAATATTATTTAAACAACAAAACATTGTTGGTTGGTCTTTCATTCCTAGCGACTCGCTACCCGCAACATTGGGAAGGTCTTTCTCCATGGTCCGCGCTCCCACTATAACCAACCTCTCTGCTCTACAGAAGCGTCATCTGTGAATGTTCAGAGCGTAAGTTTATATTTGTACTTCGTTTTCACGACGCACTCTCTATCGTTATGGAGGATAAGAACACATCCGGCAGTGCTGCAAATGCAGATAATGCAGCTTCTGGTTCCACGCCAGCAAAGAAAGCTGCCAAATCTAAGGCTAAGGCCCAACGCCCAAAAGCGACACATCCATCAACTGCAGAGATGGTTACTTCGGCTATCAAAGAGCTGAAAGATCGTAAGGGGTCATCAGTACAGGCTATCAAAAAGTATATTGCTTCGACTTACAAAGTTGACGGCGAAAAATTTGCTCCGTTCATCAAGAGATACTTGAAGACAGCAGTTACCTCGGGTGCAGTAGTACAAACCAAGGGAAAGGGAGCATCAGGATCATTTAAGCTCCCGACGACTAAGAAGCCTGTTCGTGAGGTAAAGAAACGTACTCCGAAGAAGCAAGGAGCGATCTTGGAAGAATCATTACCTGAAGAAAAGACCGCGAAAAAAGCACCAAAAGCTGCTAGAATATGGGTCAAAACTAAAAAGGCAACGGCTGAAAAGAAGCCTGCATCGCCGAAAAAGAAGCCCGCACCGCCATCGAAACCAGCAGCAGCGAAAAAGAAAGAAACGGCTGCAAAGCAGAAAGCTGTCGCCCAAGCCAAGAATCTTTCTAAGACCAAAAAATCTCCAGCTGGTAAAGCGAAGGCTCCCAAGCCAAAAGCCATTAAGGTTAAAGCAAAAAAATAATTGCTTCATTCAGATAAAAAATGGCCCTTTTCAGGGCCCCAATTTATCTATATGATGGACACATTTCTCTGATCGCTTATTCTAATTTTTCTCTTGATTAGATTTAAGTAATTATATCTCAACTTTGTTTTTTATTTTTTCAACTTTGTTTTTTTGAACGAGTACAGAATTGTACCAAATTAAAGTAGTACTTAGCTAGTAAGCATGTTCTGTAACTTTTTGCAATTACATAAAGCATAGAAAAATAAAAATATGCACATAAAACTGAAATTAATAATAATGCAGTTATGATTAAAATACTCTAGTCTTTGAGGTTGATAAATAAAAAGAGATAGTATTTTTACATAGTATTTATATTTATGTGACTAGAAATTACGATAGGATATCAAAAAATTCTCGGATTAATGGGGTAAATCCTTAAAAAAAGCAAGACTTAAAAAATAACTTATGAACAATAAGAGCTTTTCAATTACACGTACTATTATTTGTTTACATAAAAGGTTTCTTTAAGTTTTTTCCTACTTTACATTTATTTTACACTTCCAAAACTTGTGGGAACATTTGTCGAGAAGAGACGTTTACAACATAGAAGAGATCTCTTAAAATATAAAAAGTATACATAACGTATAATGTGTATACGTGTAATATAATGTAATATAAATTAAACTATTAGACACATAATGTATCTTATATTACATATTATATGAAATATATTACATATATAAAATGTTTATCTTAAATACATTACGCATATTAGTATAAAACACACAAAGTATTGTATAATAATGTAATGTAATAGTAAATATTGAAAATTATCAAATATAAAAATATTTGTAAGAATATATTTATGAGTATGTAACGTATATCATTTTTAAAACTAAAATTATATTTTTTTAATGTAAAATATTATTAAATTTGATTTCAATTATCTTAGTTCAAATTGTTTCTAGTTTCTCTTTTGAGACAATTTTTCATTTATTTGGAAAGTTTCTCAAATAGTAAACCAAAAAGACTAACATCATTGTAAATGTCAATAGGTATAAATACAATATTATAAAATCCACTTTGTTTTCCGCGAAGTTTAACCACTGATTTATTGCAAAATACATGTTTCTATAATATTGTTCAGGATCCAGATCTTGTAAAATATCTTTCTCACAAGATTTTATCAACTTTTGAAGTAATTTCTTTCGTTTTTCACTATACTTTGATTTGTGGACATTTAGTTGAAAGTTATTCTTGTTTTTTTCTTTGTTTTTTTCATATAAGTTACAAAAAACTGAAGAAGCAATTTTAAAAATTGCTAAGACCATTGCGATTTTTGTCCATATTCTGCTTCAATACAAATTAGAAAAAAGCATACTGTAATATTATTATGTGTGTGTAAAATATATACGTATATGTATGTACAACTTTGATTATTATAAAAAATTCTACCGGTGCCTAAAAACCGTTACATATTTGTGTGATTTGATCGATGAGAAAATTTATATAGAAATTCATATATATGATATTATAAAAAATATTAAGTCAAGAGGTTAAATTTAAAAATAAAAATGTATTGTGACTTACATATGTAAAATTAGAAAATAATTCTTTATAAATATAATTTTAATAATAGTAATAATATCACAAGAAAGAGAGAGAGAGAGAGAGAGAAAGAGAGAGAGAGAGAGAGAGAGAGAGAGAAAAAAGACTATTTTATCTGTAGATAAAGTTCTGTGTGTTCATATGTCAAAATTAACTCTTCAATTTAAAAACGAAGATATTAAAATCTTGCTTACACTTTCTTTTGCTTTGACTAACTGATCGGCACGATTCTACTGTCACACGATGAATGATCGAACCAGATGAGAATCTATCAAATCAAAATTGAAAATTGTAGCTTTTCCGAAGGTCATATTAGTTGATATTTACATGTAAGTCCTATGTTAGTTGATATTTACTGGTAACTAATCTTGTAATGTCTCAGTAGATGATACACGATACATAAAATATATGTAGATATACGTATGTATGTGTGTGTGAGAGAGAGAGAGAGAGAGACACAAGTATATTTGACTAATCATAGTCTTCCTAATTTTGCTTGTAAATACTAAATAACTTCACTTAAGTTTTAAAGACATTTTGAAAATTTGAAATATTCTTAAAAATGTAAAACATTTTGTGGTAAAGTCTTAAAGTCGTCTAGAATAAGACGTCTTTTTCACAACAAACATATGTTGTTCTGGAATATATATATGTGTGAATATATCAATTGATGATAATTAAGGAAATTCAAGAGAAAATACATTACAAATGCAAGAAACTAGAGGACATTTAATCAGATTTGCATTATATTCACATGTATACATATAGATACTGTATAATAGCTTTACTGTATTATATCCTTGAACGAACTTTTTAAACTGCATTTTCAAACAATACATTTTTGTACAATATTTAAATATATATTGCAATATTTAATATAAATATTAATATATACTGTACATTTACCAACGTTACACTGATTTACAATTCACAGATCTTCATATAGAGGACACTACTAAAACTCTCTGATTGTTAAAGCTGATATTTATCGTCGAATCTTATATATAAGATCGTCTTGCACGTTTACTTTCAAATACTTATGATAGACAATAAAACGATTTGTACGACATTTTAAGATAAACTCAAAATGATCTTAGATATAAAATCAGGATGAATACCGGTCTAAGATTTTTCTGAACAAAAGATTTGAATTATATTGCAATATATACTGTAAAGCGTTACCGTGCTATTGTGTCCTACTCGAGGACGATAAGATTTATAGGACTACAAAAGAACTTGAAATTTGGACTAGTATTAGCTTGGAATTTACTTAGTACTAGCGAAAGAATAAATTTTAAAATAAAGTGTTATTCATCGATAAGAGATATCTAACGCTTTTTAAAAACTTTTTAAATATACGTATACTAAGTGCATTAGTCCGTAGATAAAAGTATAATATGTATGCTATTGTTCAATATACAGGGTGTTTCAGAACTATGGGATCAAACTTCTAGGGGTTATTCAGTGCAACAGTAGAAAACATTTGAGTATAGGGACCCATGTCCGGAAAAGTGTCACTACCGCACTACGGCCCTAAGACGCGTTAAAATTTAGAAAGACGATGAA